GAAATTACAAGGGTGTGGGGCAAAGACACTTAGAAAAGATCAAGCAGAATGGTCAAATCCAACTACTGCAAAGGAAGCCAGCGTCGAAGAAGAGCACACGGGCTGGACGTCTCGCAAGCAATGCCCTGTCTATGACAAGCAAGATAACGTTTTCCAGTAAGAGTACGGTATGAAGACACAGTTACCAAACCAAACTCTCCAAAGGAGCATACCAAGCGAAATTGTGAACGGCATGCCACCAAGGAACTAAAAGAAAAACCATTAAAATAACGGCTTAACTTTCTGTCTTCTGGAGAAGAACCAAAGTTTTTGAAAATAATTAACGCACACGTTGTGGGTCTAGAACCCTAAAGTGCAGCGAGTGCATCCGATTGCAGAAGCCCATATGTTCTCTTAGACTATAGCTAATGTGTGTGAGCTCTCCTAGAAGACACAAGCAAAGTGAGTTACAGTTGTATACCAAGCATCTAAAGATGTAACAAACGGCTGTAATATCGAACCGAATCAGCGAAATCGCTGTGATTTCCCCTGTGGTACTTTGTGAAGAAGAAAGACCGCCGTGGCCATTAGATGGATTTTTCAAGATTGTTTATTTGTGAAGAATGTGGAAGCACCTGATTTTGTCTAATTAATTCGAAATCTAGTTTAAATCTCAATCTTCTACGTTCTTCCAGAATTCAGAGGGTTATCGCCGTTCTTGAGAGCGAACGAAATGCCGTTCGCAGCACTACGTAATAATATACAGCAGTACAGAGCAACTGCATATTTGTGATACGCTGGCTAATGGTGAAAACAATTAACATCATTAAACTAATGTTGCGATGTAGTTTTGCTATAAATTCATTCGCGAAAAAGTGACAGTAAAAACGTGATTCGATGTTGTACATGTTGCCAGAATGTGACGCAGATACAAATTTGCTGACATCTCTTTCTCGTGGGAATGGATTACTCTAAAATACGACTATCCAAAAAATTCAGCAACAATTATTGCAACGTATAATATCGTGTTTGTCTTAGGCAACATCACGCAATGCTTCTGATATTTTCTAATAATATCGAGCTTGGAATATTCTCTTATAATGGATTCATGCAACAAATCTGAATGACTTAAAATACGTGTTTTCAGTGTTTCAAACTGAGGAACGAAACGGTAGTTAATGACACTTTGCCTATAGTGCCAAAGGTGTATGTGTTAAAGGGTTGGGTCGGGACGGCTGGCGCTCCTGCGTGGATCGCTTTCTGGTTACGGCTTCGGGCTCGCTACGTCCCTAGTAGAGTACCTTTTGAAAATTTGTATTACATTCAAGGAATTAGCATCAATTTACTTAGTGAACGGAGATTACAAGTTAGATGGTTCATAAAGCTCTCCAAATATAGATTCACACATTTATGATTCCCTTTGGGCCAGGATATCCACATTATATTTCAAGTACGTCAGTGGGCTATTTTACCTAAAACATTCTCTCAAAAAATAATAATCTAACTATGCGGGATCTATTAAAGCCTCCCAGTTAATAGTCCATAAGTCAGTAATTACTGAGATCAAACGCTCTCCAAATATATGTTTATATGGCAAGGTGGTAGCTCTGGTTCGCATAGTCGGAATAGACGAAAATGTCAATTATAATAGCTCACAAATGAACGACATTGCTAAAGTTTAAATATAAAGAAATTGGCCATTTGTCAAAAGCTCTTCTGACATACTTACGCCACATCTTGTGTACTGTGGAATTACTCACCAAAGCCACCCCTGACGTGAGGTCAAATGTGAAGACATGGGTTTAAAATTGTAGATCGTCAAGAACAGGTTTATCTTGTCATTTGAAAGAGACGGACCGTCGGCAGAATGGACAAGTAAAAGAATGTGGAAAGGAAGGCGAGCGGTGAGAGTTAGGTGTCCAAAGACCAGAAAGAATGCAGCGCAGAAAAACAAACAAAAAAAGTTGCAAGCCAATTCTTTTTTTTCAATGATGTTTATGGAATTTCGTCTTTCGAACCTAGCAAAACCTAAAACTTGCATATAAAAAATTGGAAACGTTTGATATATTTAAAATACTGAATAAAGTATACTGAAGCTTACAATGATTTCCGCTATTTTAGCTTTTATTTTTATTGTTGTAATAGTAATCCACTTAATATACCAGGGAATCATATGTGAAATTTGGCTTGCATCTACTTGTATGCTTGTATTGTATATACGCTTTCTTAAGTATATTAAGTACTAGGCGGCGGCGCCGCGGCGTCCGTGAGCGCACGTCCGCCCCCCGCCGACGCGCGAGCTCGCGGAAACTTATATAATAAGATATCACATCGAAATAATAAGACGGATTTGGGTGTTATATACGTTTATTATGTTTTCTCGAAAAATATCTGAATTTTTCCATAAACTCAATAACTATGACATTATGTGATTTATTCTTGTTTTCCCCAATAGAAATATATAATATATAAATTAAATAGCAACAATAATATAAATTTACTTCTTAACTTACATTTCAAATCTGTTAGCGACTATTCTCTTGCTTTGTTTCTGATAACAAAAGCAATCAAATTGGTTTCCGTGACACCAAAAACCGATACAATTTCAATTCTGATTCCGACAACTATCGGATCCTAGAAAACCCCTGTATAAAATATATACTTAGTATAAAACATAAGGATACTCACTGCTATTTAAGTATTGCTTGATTTTCAAAATAATTCGACCTAATGCTTTTCATATTTTTACGTTGCAAATTTCTGTTAATCGATCATCGATAAGAGTGCAAGTGAAAAAAAGAAAGGTCAGAGTCCTACAGCATTCAGTTTTCTTGATCGACCGAGCAAAGAATGTGTTTTTTCTATCTTCGTTTTTTGAAAGGAGAAACCCATAGCTTTTCTTTCCAAATTTATATTATATAAATAAAGAAAATAGATTTTTTGACATGAAGCGTTCAAAATCCGGGTAAATCATAAAATTCGGGTATAAATCAACAACTTTTGCAGGCTCGAAAAATCCGATGAATCCGGAAAAATCTGCAGATATGGCAGCACTGAAGGAACGACTGTTACCATGTCGGTACTATATACGTTTCAAAATGGGGAATACGAATTTATTTTCGATAAATGTCGATAATACCAAAAGAAATGCCAAATAGCCATTCTGTTTCCGTTTTAAACGACAACGGAAATATGGCCGAATGATTTATATTTCTAATATAATAATATAAATAATTACTTCCCCAATTTTGCAGAATGTTATTAGGACAGATTACAAATGAATTAAAAAACACAATAGTAATAATAATATTATATTAAAGGTATTTACTGTATTCATTCAAACTCTGAAATTCACAAAATAATGTAAACAACTACTCTTGATCAGTTGCCTGATTTTGACATTTCTGTTGAGCAAAGAGAACGAAAGAGAGAGAGCAGCAAGTGTTGATGGCTTAGTTAGTGAAGCATCACAAACATACATATGCACATATCTACCAGCAAAATTAAAGTGCATTCACTCCGCGTTTAGCGCAGCAGAGCGAGAAATTCCGAATCACCACTAAACTTTTATTCTATTATTCTTCTTCTATTCTATTAATTCCTTGTTACTGTGTAATTCCCAGCTATTTTAAACAAGTTGTAGTATAAGAGGTTGCTTGTGTGCTGAACAAAGCATACACCGGAGCGAGGCTAGGCCAAGGATGACATGATGCGAGACTCTCTCATTTTCGCTGATTTTTCTGTTATTTTCTTTCCATGATTAATAAAATCAGGGAATTTCGAACAGCTGATGTCAAAAAAGCTAAAAATAGCTAAAAAAAAAAAAAAAAAACAGTGCGAAACGAAATTTCAAGGAACTACACAAATACTTTTGAATAACGTGCAACTAAATTTTATTTGCTAATTTAATTTAAAACGTTCATCATAAAACCATTATATTTTATTATGACTTGTATTGTTTCTTTGTTATAATTTTTTGTATTTATATGTTATTTTTTATGTTATAGATGTTTTAAAAATTTTATAATACGAATACACGTATTTAGGGATGTATATGCGTTATATAGGACTACTCGGGAACCGAGCACCTAAATATTATATAATAACGAAATGTAAAATACCCAAAAAGTTTTTTTATACAATAATACCCAATCCATTTTCTCTCGACAGTGGCATGATTGATAAATATTATAAAAAAAAAATGTGGGTTTTGAAAGCTCTCTCTCGAATCAAAGAGTTTCGGATCATTTTATCCATGTTGGCCATTGCACTTGCTGAGTTGACCTTCGCGATTATTCTTAATGCGAATAACGCGTGGGTGTAATTTTAGTAGCCGAGAATTGCGTTCGCGCCGTTACGACTTATAAATACAATTTGTGTGGTTTTGGAAGATGTTGGCGGATTTGTTCAAGTAAAGAACTTAGTGCAGTATACCAATGTTATTCATTTGTATATAAAATTAAGTTGAAAAAAAAAACATAAAAATATTAATTAACACACGCGACATTCATATTCATACACCCCTAATTGACACATATAGCAATGACATAAATTAAAATTAGTCTTTAGTGGGATATTCCATTTTTTTAGAAAACACTTCACGGCAGCAGGCTTGTAGTTGTCGCTGTTGTGTTGCCACTAATATGTGAAATGTAAAATTCTTATTTTGACGCGATAACCTTTTGTTTACAGCTTTACTTGCGTTTGTTCTTATCGTTTGCATGGACGTCCAGACAAAAAGACATGGTGATGCTCCTCCCTCTGCTCACAATTTAAATACAACGCCCTGCTGTGAAAATATTGTTTAAATTCAATGATATTACCAACCCTATGATAGTTCTTTAACATATATTCTTTTGCAATCGTCGCTAACTACATTTCACAATATGTTAGCTGGGTGATGTAAACATGACTATCCAATACCGTTCACTGTTTAACATTTTTATTTTTTTATTCACTATATAAATTTTTCTAGATTAGTCGTAACGTAACGATTTTTGAAAATAACACCATATCGTAAATGATTTAAGGCAGCTATGGAACGAATGAAATTTGGAACCATTTATTTTATGAGGCAGCCATATCCTTGACTTTGCACAATAAATTCATTTCGCCACAGTTTTTTTATTCAAAAGTCTTGGCATGGATATATGTACAAAATTTAAAAAAAAATCTCTTAAAAAATTAACATCAGTTGAATTTGCAATTAGAGAAATCCATTTCAGGATGCTGCATTTTAAACCTAAAAATATATATTTTATAGCTAGTAAAAAAACGATTATACTTGTAATATTTACTTCTCCAATATTTCTATTTTTCTTTTGTCTTCACTTGTTGGCAATCCCATTTCTTTTTGACGTTGATCATACATCATTTTCTCAACCAAACTTCGCGTTTCACCATCCAAATCAGAAAGCTTTGATGGTTCTGGATTAATTTTACGGGTTGATATAGGTGGATCTGTTGAAATCAAACGGTCCCACCAATTCATTTTATTAATCTAAAATGATGGAAAGTAAATTGGTAAGTACCAGGGATGATTATCGTTGCGATTACAAAACAAATCATGAACTTAGATTCGACTTACAAAAAAAAAATAATGTCATGTTAATATTTGTTCGACGATCTAAGCATTTCTATGATAATTGATTAATTTCGAGTTTTTATGATTTTCTTCACTAATAATAAATAATTTTATAACAAATCACATATAATCTTTGCTTTTTGGTTGGTTTAGACCTTGGTATACCTCATATCCCTAATATCATCAATTCCAATATTTTGGTTAACGTTATCAAATTAAGCCTCTTCTGTTAAGTTTATGTCAGATGTACTGCGCTTCATCAGGTTAGCACACTTCAAGCTTAAATAGCTTTAGTTATTTCTGTCAAAACTAAAGAAACTACAATTCTAAAATTATTAGCTAGTACTAACGAATCATTTTTTTACTCAAAACAACAGCAATTAGTGTTCTTAATTTTCTAAAATTTTTAATAATTTTTTTTGTTGATTTCAACAATTTAAATTAATACATCAGGTTAGAACATATCACCTATCTAGAACAAATTTTTAAACTTATATATTAACAAATTTAAACATTTTTATATTATTTGAATAATTAAGAAAGATCTTTAAGATTCGATTGGGCAGGGATTGGTACTATTTTTCAATGTAATTTAAGAAAATTGATGACCGATCATTTTTAATACCTTCAACCAATTCCTCTTGAGTGGAATACTGTCGGCCAAACTAAACAACTTTACGAGACAACCATTCCCACACTTTTTCTATTGCATTTATTTCAGGTGAGTAAGGCGACACCTTCATTAAATCCATGTTTTGTCCTTCAACCCCAGACTTAAACACCTGGACACTGTGAATCGGTGCTTTATCCTATCGTGCAAAGTTACAAACAGATTTTTAAAATCGAGAATAGCAGTTTCCAAAATGTTTTTATACGCGTTTGCATTCACATTAATGTTCAAAAATTGCAGATTGGATATAAAATGGCTCTCCACACCGTCACACTGGTCATACGACTATGTAGTCGCCAACTGATGTTCCTACTTCCGAAAATCATGAAAATAATAATTGTATCCATCGGTTCTTCCAAATTATTTTTTTAACTCTATTTATATCATTCATACGATATTTATATCAGTCGATTCATGAGAGTTGGATGCTTTTCTCAAAATTTCTCTTGTTGACATCGAAAATCACTTCATTGTTATCGCCTTTATTATTTCGACCATACTCCGACTTATTACGCAAGTAATTGTATATAACTTTCAGACTTTAATCAACTGTTTTTTAGTATTTCAATTATTGGAAGCTGTAACTCTACATAAGCTTCGATTATTGCTTTCGTTTCAACCGATAGCGACTTTCCATAAGCCATATTAAAAAAATAGAGCATTTAATCAATACAAAAAATTTGATGTCAATATGTATTCTAACTCCAAAGACAAATGCAAATCAAGTTGCCAAACATTTGACAGTACACCCAAACGCATATAAAAACAGAAAAATTTAATTATAAAGCAAATTATATGCTTAATATTGAAATTTTTATTTTTTATTTTTCATTCCGGTAGAGTTGGGACAAAAATTAAAAATTAAGTTTTAATCCGGTTTTAGGGATTAACAATTTGGGAAAACTTTAGTTTAGCATCCCACGATTTCAGGGTTAAGAGGGGTATGGTTGGATAGAGGAGATTCTCCAGATCTCGAATATATATAAATTTTGCCGCCGGAAACTTATAGTTTTCGAGATATTTGCATTTTAAGTTGAAAATTTCACAAATTTCATTTTGCAATTTCTCGATTTATGGTTATCTTTTCTTTTATATTATGCACTTATTACACACTAACACTTCACTAAAATGTTTCTACATATTTATTTTATATTAAATAGGCATTTAATTTTTACACAATTTTCGTAATATGAACAATAACAAATGGGTTCCATGTTGTCAGATAAAAAGTGTTGCCATATCCAAACTAATGAAAGCAATCAAAATAAATAAAAAACCCAATCACCCTCTACAAAATATTATGAACTTAATTTTCCATTTTAATAAAAGAAAAAGGTTTTATGGCTTAAACGTATGTTTTATTGCATCTGATAACTTCAAAAATGGATCATGATGCTGATTTACTATATTTTTACGCCATATGTATTCATATATCAAATTTTCAAAATCTTCAGTTATTATATTTATCCTTAATAAAAATTGAAGTTTATAGAGAGTGATATATTCTCTTTAACATTACTTTTTTTTTGTTAAGATTTTTTATTTGCACTGGCGGTCTTCGGCCGCGCTTCAAAAAAATAACCCTAGTCGGTCCAACACCGGGGTGTTCATAATTCAATCGCGTCAAACTTCTTACTGCACAAATTAAATGCTTATTTAAAGCAAATACTTAAATATTTAATATAAAATAAATATGTAGAAACATTGACTCCTGCGAATGGCAGGCACCTTGCCGTGGTGCAGGGGCTTAGGTCGCAAGGCATTCTCGGCATCTCCCAACCGGGGTGAGAAGTGCTGTCTAGCACCTCTCACGCGGGAGGAAGCCGAAAAGTTGGCGCGTAACAGGGTGAGAGGAAACAATGCCTCCCCTGCCTCGGAGAAGCAGGGTGGCAATACCGCGTCCAGCAGTAAAAGGAGTAGCGGAAATCGAAGCCAACGCCTGGTTAACGCAACTCAGGCCGCAAGGCGGGGTTGCGAAAGGGCAGCGCCTTCGACCACCCAAGCCGCGAAGCGCAAGAGTGGGCAGCTAACGCCGCAGGAGCCGCCTAACACCAAGCGGCAGAGAGGCAGCAATGCACAGGGGACCGGAGGCAATCANNNNGCCCCAAACCCCCCTCGAGTGGTAGAGGGACAGCGCAGATATGCGGATGCTCTCAAAGGCATTCGCATGGCTGTGCTGCCTCTAAACTACCCGGCGGAAACACTGGGGCGGAGGAGCTTACCGTGCTCCAAGACCTACTCATGGAAGAAATATTCAGAGGATCTGGATATAAAGCCTCATTCCATGGAGCATATTTCAAAGGAGGCATGCTGCAGGTGGACTGCAAGGACGAGAGGTCGGCTAGCTGGCTAAGGGAGATCGCTCCCAAGCTGGCAGGCTGGAAGGGCCCCGTCCTCTGCGCAAAAAAGGGGGAAGACATACCGCCTATGCATAGCATGACGGTGTTCCTCCCCAGGTGCGCAGGTAAGCCATATGAGTTTGCTCTCGGTCTCATTCAAAATCAGAACGAGGGCCTTAGTATATCGGCCTGGCGAGTAGTCACCAGCCAGGTGGAGGATGCAGGGTGGAGGCTCAATCTCTGCATCGATGACGAATCGTATAAATTCGTCAGGAGAGCGAGCTTCCGGCTGAATTACAGATTCAGCTCGGTGGTCCTGATGCCATTTAAGCCTAAGACGGCCAACGGTAGCGAAACGGGGGAGAAGATGCTGGTGGATGAGGTTGCGACTCATCCCGGCACCAGCACGTCGGAGCAGGCGGCAACTGCCGCGACCATGGAGAAGGTCCCTACGGAGAAGGCTGACGAGCAAGGGGGGGCGCTACCCTCCACGCAAGAGCTTCTCGATGGACTCAACGACCTAGCGAGTGGCAACGCGGAGGACGGCGAAGGTGAGGTGCACCTCACGGAACCGGTCCTATAGTGGGTCCACAAACAGAAGTTGCCCAGGTGAACCTGCACCACGCGGCGTCGGCCTCGGCTGTCATCGCGAACAGGTTCACAGCGGATGGTCTGGGCATACTGCTGATCCAGGAGACATGGATCTACAACGGAGAGGTCAGAGGCCTCAAAACGGTGAATAACAAGGTAATCTGGGAAGTAGTGGATCTCTCAAGGTAGGAGAGACCTATGAACCGTGTTATAGTAGTTAGTGATACTGATATGTTTCTTTTGTTATTCATGAGTTCCTAACACAATTACTGTGTGTCCCTTTTCAATGTCCCAAAAAAATTAAATGAGTATCTGTACTTGTTCCCTTGTCCAAGTCGTAGAGAGATGGAGCGTACTTTTGTACATTTCAGGTGAGACTTGTTTGACAAAATTCACGAACTTTTCTGTGGCTCTTTGCGGCCCTATAAATGTCTTTTGCCATTGTCGTTTCATGAGTTTTGATGGCAAAACCGCGTCGTCCGACGCAAGCGCAGCAAATGCCGCGAGAAAAGCCTCCTTGTCAGATTTCGTAAATAGCTCGAGGTGCACTGCTTTTGTCGTGAAAACAGGACAAAGATTAGCCTTCCATGAGGGTGGGAGACCTTAACATGGATGCCTTTATCTAAAAACCCCCACGGGTGAGCCACTTAAATACAAAAAGGGGGTTTTTCCTGACACCTTGTAATGCGTGAAAGGCAGAGCGAGTTCAGCGTATCCGGCGGGTACTACCACTGTCTTAATCCAATGTAGGTGGTTTTGTTTATAGCTTTCCTTTCGAATTAAGGAAGATTAGTTATCTAACAATAATTTTTCATGTGGTATATTTTAAAAATAATTTAGGTTGCCCTTTCGTCCCGTTATCTTTTTCAACGGTAAACTCTCGGTTTTTTGAGAAGGCTTAACTTTACCACTTGTTTCCGATGGTTAGTTGATCTATGCTTGTGGAAGACTGTTGACTTCCAGAAAAGATATACGTTCTAATTATGTTTAGTGATATATTTAAACACTTTGGTCCTCCTTTTGCCAGAGGAACATTCTACTTTGCCTGCTTTTCTGCCCAGTTTCGTTGGACTGTGTCTTGAAATGCTAAATATTTGGAGCACAGTTGACGCCCAAAGGTAACTGTTTAGTTAATATATTCGTAATCGTAGTCTCGGACATATTGGAGAGATTTTCGGCAAAATACAGACCATTCGCTGAAAAATCTTGATCTTCTTTTATGTACGACTATTTGTCATATATCATTTTTTCACGTCTCTCGTTAAATACGTATTGAATATACGCCAATTAATAGAGGAGCATTATCTGGTTGGAGC